GCAGAAGTGTTTGATAATGTAATCAAAGGCTTCAAAATATGAAATAGATTAGGACAAACACTTGTGGGTAAAGGAAATCAAAATATGAATTTAAAGACAAAAAGGGACAATGTAAAATTTATGACTGATAAAGAAAATCTCTTTCATGTATTCTTTATTGGAAGATGATGTGTATCCAATCACCAAAATGTTGAAGAATATGTTCCTGGACAATTAAGATCATATTTTCATGACCAGTACCTAGTACATGCTTGACGTTGTAGGGACAATTTGAATAGAATGCTAACACCTTATAGAAATACCAAATAATGATGTGAATTACTTCCAATTAAATTTAGTGTCAGATTATAGAGTTAGGCTTTCAGTTTGTTTTTCACTTATAGGTAGTCTTTTTGAATTTAAGATTATATGATGACTTGTTGTTGTGTGCCATCAAGTTGTCTCTGACTCCTAGTGACCTTATGTACAACAGAATGAAACACTGCCTTGTCCTATGCCAGCCTCACAATCCCTACTACACCTGAGCGCATCACTGCTGGCACCATCTCAGTCCATCTTGTTGAGAGCCTATTCCTCTTTCATTGACCTTCTACTTTACCTTTCATGACATCCTTCTCCAGAAAATGGTCCTGTTTGACAACATGACCAAAGTAGGTGAGATAAGTCCGGCCATTATCTCAAGGAGTATTCCAGCTGCACTTCTTCCAGGACAGATTTGTTAGTCCTTTTAGAAGTCCATGGTACTTTCAGTATTCTGAGAAGTTTCTGGAAGTTCAGTGTTCTTTACCAACACCACAACTCAAAAGCATCAACTCTTCTTCCGTTTTGCTTATTCATTGTCCAGCTCTCACATGCATATGAGGCAATTGAAAATACCATGGTTTGGGTCAAGCATGTTTTAATATTCAAGGAGATATCTTTGCTCTTCAGAACTTGAAAGAGGTCTTTTGCAACAGATTTGCCCAATACAGTAAATCAATCAATAGATGTCTTGACTGCTGCTTCCATTGGCATTGATTGCTGAACCAAGCAATGTGAAGTCTTTGACAATGTCAGTCTTTTCTCCATTTATTGTGGTGCTGCTTATTGGCCCAGTTGTGAGTATTTTTGTTTCTTTATATTGAAGTGTAATCTATACCACAGAATGTAGTCTTTAATCTTCATCAGTAAGTGCTCCAAGTCCTCTCCACTTTTAGCAAGCAAAGTGGTGTCATCTGCATATTTCAGGTTTTAATGAGCCTTCCTCCAATCCTGATGCCACATTCTCCATATAGTCCAGCTTCTCGATTATTTGCTCAGCATACAGATTGAATAAGTATGGGGAAAGGATAAAACCCTGACACACTCCCTTCCTGCTCTTAAAGCATGCAGTATCCCCTTCTGTTTGAATGACAGCCTTATGATCTATGTACAGGTTCCTTATGAGTACAATTAAGTGTTCTGGAATTCCCATTCTTCTTAATATTATCAACAATTTGTTATGATACACACAGTCGAATACCTTTGCATAGTCAATAAAACATAAGTAAACATCTTTCTGGTATCCTTTCCTTTCAGCCAACATCCATCTGACATCAGCTATGATATCCCTCAGTCCACATCCCCTCCTGAATCAAGCTTGCATTTCTGGAAGTTGTCTGTCAATATATTGCTGCAACCATCCTTGAATTAT